TACAACCTATTTGGATGAAAAGGATCAAGAGCATTTCTATACGAGGAAGATGGATCTTGATGGGAAGTTAAGTTTGTAGTTTGATTTGAGTTCTCGTTCTCCACAATTTGTTTTGGTACCATCAAATTTTCTCACAAATAGGGTAAATCAAAGTTTAGAAATGATCTGTGAGATGAAGTCCAAAAAGAAATTGCCAAAAAAGGGGAGGAAAAAGAAAATGAAACCAAGCAACGATCGGTTAAAAGACCTGAATATGATTACCTTTTCCTTCTCTCGAATCTTTTTGTCTCTTGGAGGAGAAAAAAACAAGACTTATATATGTACAGAAAAAATTTAGATATACACTTTTTAATCTATACAGTTATTTTTCTTAACCCTAAAAAGAACCTATACATGCATATGTGCATATGTAGTCCACGTGGATCCTTTATGGAGTTCTGCATCCCACTTCTCAGGTCGATCAAATCCATACTTTGACATGGGTGGATAAATGTATAGATATTTAGGTCGTTGGTCGAATACATTCATTTGTTTTTTAAGAGGGAATTTGAGTATCTTGAACTTTGTGTACTTTACAACAATCTAAAATTATTAAAAAGAAAAAAATAATTGACTAAAATTAAGTTAAATAGGCTTTCTAAACACCTAATAAGTTTCTTTCTTATCTTAACACCACATATTTGACTTGCAAAAATTAAGAAGTAGTTAATAATAATTTGACCTATGTTAGCCAAAAGTCTATTCCGTAATTGTAAATGATATTTAGTACGCACAATGATTCTCGAAAATTTTCAATTTTGATGAATAGAAATTAATTAAGAAATAGTTTTACCACAAGGACAAATAAACATATCTACTAATAAAAAAAAAAATCATAATTAAGATCTTTACCACTTCAGATTAGATCCATAGGCAATATTTTTTCCCCATGAAATTGACAGGCGAAGGACACAAAGTACCAGATTATTCCCCTCCCTTGTGGCCTTTTGTGGCCCACGAACCCATTACATTTACCTAAATACCCCTAACCTCTTCTCCACCATCCACTCTTCACATTAATTCTCAATATTTAATCAATCTTATCCGTATTAATTAATTGATTAAAGCTAAAGGGTTTGTACTAATCTTGTGGGACATAAAGAAGAACATCATATAATTGGAGAAAAACTGAGAAATTAATGTTTTAATTAAAAAAAAATTAAAGATGTTATTTTAGTAGTTTAAGGAGAAAAGGAAAAGTAATTGTGTTTTGCCGACGCCGTTCAATCCTAACCTAACGGCGTTTTGTTCCCCCCCCCCCCCCACCAACAACCCATTCTTGTAGCGTGGACTTATTCTGACCCGTGCCCAACTTTAAACGTCGTGCCATTATTATTGTTGTTTAAAACTTTATTCACGCTTGCTTGACTACTACCAATAATAAATATAATACATTAAAATTCTTTTTCATTCTCTCTCTCCCCCTTCTCTCCCTCTCTATGTATACACACACACACACACACACATATGTATATATTGTAAAACAGATACTCTTCAATAATGGGTAATGCTACCTTATTCCTTCAACGTGATAATACAGCTGAAATATTAATATAATTAATAAAAATATCAAATATAAATTATATGTTTCATAATAATTAATTTTCTTAATTAAAATAATCTGAATGGAACATAAGAAATTATCTTCCTCTTTAAAAAATGTGTTATTACTTTTTCATAAACTTGAATCACATATTTTCTAAGATAGAAAACATAATTTCTAACCGTTCTAAATTATCAAAATTTACGTTGATTTATTGTGGGAAACACCACATAATCATTTTCAGGTTAATCTCTTAAATTATACAAAACCCAGTGACTGGAAATTAATTAATTTTTTGAAGTCGGATGGAATGCGGGTTTTATAAAACCGGATCCGAAAGCTTCAAAAATTTCCTGGAAAACGCAAAACATGTCTGAGCAGACCCGAACAGGAGGAGCAGAAGAATCCAAAAGCAGAGAGTCACTTCTCTTTCATATGCCCACGCACAAAGATTTCTTTTCAGTTTATCAAACTGCCGTCTGCCCTCTCCTCTCTCTGGATTCATTTTGCCATTGTCAGCTTTACCCTTAACCCCTTCGCTGACCCCCTCCTCCTCTCGTTTTCTTTCTCCCCTCTCTTGACTTTTTCCTGGAATCCAAACAACATATAAGCCAAAAATTAAATCTCTGTACTCTCTTTCTCTCTTTTAGCAGCATTCTTTTGCTGTCTCGCCCTCTTGAAAGTCTGATAAGTTTTGGCGTTTCAGATACCACTCTTCGTTCTTTCCTTTTCTTCTGCTCCATCCATTCTTTCTTCTTTTTTTTTTGTTGTTTCCAGAAACACAGTCTCGGCGCATTTTAGCTTTCCTTGCCCGTCAGACGGAGATTATTGCGCATGTTAGAATGGCCGACCCATAAAAATGTAAAAGGGGTAGTATCGGAAAGTTTGCCCGGGGTCCTTTCTGTGCCTTGTCGGGGTGGTTGCCCACATAAAGTTGTATGCAATATAATGGAGTATAATAATACATCAATTATATCGTAGAACCCAAAAAGCCGTGAAAAGATGCAACTTTCTTTTTTTGTTTCAAAAAAATAACTTAAAAATACAGAATTTTTTAAATTAAATTTCTTAACGAGCACTTCTTTTACCGGGTACAAGAGCATTTTTTAGTGGGTTTTCTTATACAATCTTCTTTCTTACGGATTTACTCACTCTGTTTGCGAGAGAAAAGAGGAGTGTGAGATATATATAGGAGTAAAACAGAGTCATCAAAAGCTCAGAAGGATTTCTTTTGCTTAGTTATCCCTCTTATTTCACTGTAAACACAAATCATTCTGCTTATAATCCAAGAGGATTTCCTTCTTCTTGTTTTTTCTTTAAATCCGTATTTCATGGTTTTTTGAGCATTGCATGTAAGTTTTGATGTCCATACCAGTCGTAGAACATGACTATATAGGTTTATCAGATGTTCCTTCCATGGCCAAATCTGATAAAAACAACAGAAAAAATTGTCTCAACTTCAAGGCCACTGAGTTGAGACTCGGGTTACCTGGTTCCGAGTCACCAGACAGGGATGATGCTGATGGGAACTGGGACCTGGTGGTGCTTTCACTGAATAGCTACGCGGTGTCAGGGGCTAAGAGGGGATTCTGTGATGCCATCAATGGTGGTAGGGGGTCTGCCAAGTGGGTCATCTCCTCTGGATCTGAAGCTGCTGCTGTTGATTTGGGCGCTAAAGGTCCTGGTGGTAGTGCTGGCATGTTGTTCTCTCCTAGAGGTGCTGCTATGGCTGTTGGCGGGTCGAGCTCCGGTCTAGGTGGTTCGGTTGTTAAGGATGGTGCGGTGCCTCAGTCACCGAAGCTCGTTGGGTTGGTGCAGGATAAAAAGACTCAGGATGCTGGTCCTGGTGGCCATGGGCTTGCTCCTGCTTCAAAGTAACTTGATTAGACTCTTGTATCACTCTGCTTCACTTCAATTTTTATCTTTCTTTCTGCAAATATTTCTTCTCGCTCTATACTGTTTTCATCCTGTTCTTTGTTGTTGGTTTTTCCTGAATTTAGATGCTTATTAATGTGGCAATGTCGACTGTTTATGCTCCTCGATGCTGGAGGAAATTTGAGAGAGAAAAACAGGAATGGAGTTGCATGTATTCTTGTTTTTATGACTTTCAAAACTGTGGAATAAATAAAAATTAAGCGAAACAAACTTAGTGGGTAACCAACGAACCTTCAACTCACTTATTTTTTTTTAAAGTAGAAAATACATATATTTTTATCTCATCCTATTAGTATTTTACATATTTCAGATATTTTTTGACTCCTTTGTAAATCAGTTAATGTATTCCTTTCATGCTTTGTTACTAAAAAGCCTTTGGTCTTCTTTAAAACAAATTTTATCTTTAATCAACTTTGTGGAAGAGTCTATTTCAGCTTGATTTTCTCTTGCCACATCTAATTGCACTAGTTACTGCAGAAGTGTTGATTAAATTTTCTTGCAAACAATTACAGTACCTCAGCTCTCTGCAAATTCCAATAACATGTTTCTTATGTTTTGAACAGAGCACAAGTTGTAGGATGGCCACCAATTCGTTCCTTCCGGAAGAATACAATGGCAT